AAATCGGAGCGGGATCTTTACTTGCTTTTGGGTAAACTACACAATTCCTCGCTAAATTACTCTCTCTCATATTTTATTAATTATACTTTTAATTTTTCTAATTTACTCACTGAACTTTTGAATCGCTCATGTTTTATCACTTCGAATTATTTTATTATTATTTTTGTATGACGCAACATTTTTTATTATTATTTAATATAAAATAATTTAAAGTATAAAATAAAAATAAAAGGTGGTCGGACACTACTGTTGGCAGTAGTTGACCACCATAGATGGTAGTTATTCAATCATAAATTTCATAAATCCAACCTTCATTTTGTCATAATTTGCTCCGAAGTACATAAATTGGAGATTTAAAGTGAGAAAGCTGAAACATTTCGATCAAGATTCACAGGTTTTGGAATATTTTATGGAGAAACAACCATCAAATTCGGACTTAGTAGATTGAGACGAACCGACCCATAAAATTTGGGACCGAATAACCACCATCTAAGGCGGTTGACAATGGCGTCCAACCACCTTCTGTTTTTATTTATATTTTAAATCATTTTATATTAAATAATAAAAAACATCACATCATATGAAAATAATAAAATATTTTTGGAATAATCAAAACAAGAGTAATTCGAAAATTTATGAGTAAATTAGAAAAATTAAAAGTACAATGAGCAAAATAAGAAAGAGAGTATAGTTCAGTGAGATAATGGTGTAATTTACCCTTATATTTTTCATGTCAAAAGCAACGGTCAGATTATTTATCAAATGCATTCATGTTTGATTAATTAAATGCCAGTTTGAATTTAATATAATTTATATTTAAATCAAAACAAATTTTAAAATATATATTTTAGTTTTAGATTTATTAAATATCACCATTTTCTTTTATTATTAAGAAAACAATTTGATAAACAAATCATGGATACCGTTTAATATAAAGCAGCGCAAATTATGGTCTAAAGTTGCAGAATTTAGCACTCTAACCGTTCAACGGTGGCGGGGTGTATTTTTTTAAATATAGAATTTTAATAATGCCTTTAATAATTGGGTTGTTATATAGTGCGACATTTTAATATAAGTTTAAAATAAGACATTATTTATTTTATTATTATTTAAATAATAAAATCAGTAAAAGAAATTATTTAAAATATTATTATTTTTACTTAAAACATCAATTTTTTTAATATTTTTGGTAAAAGTGCTTAATAATAATAAAATCGGTAAAAAAATAACAAAACCGGTAGCGTTTTACCAAATCTGGTGAAACGCCCAATAATAACAAATTCAGTAGAAATAATAATATTTCCGGTAATTTTTATCGATTTTTTTATTTAAATAATAATAAAACCGATAATACTTTTTTTAACCGTATATTAAGACTGTAGCACATGAGTATTTTCTTGAATAATTAATAGGTAATATAATTAAATTATTGGTAGAATTGATCAAAGAAAAGTGTTCACATGGCAGACAGGCAAGCCAAGGTGCAACAAACACATGGAAAATTCTACAAACCCAGAAATTATTTGACCTATTAGAGCACTTCAAATTTTATTTTAGGTAAATGTTACAGTATAGGAGAACTCGTTACCTTGAAATGACGATTTTTAATAAAATATAATTTTTATTAGATTTTATCACATCAAAAGTAAAAAATTCGAATAAAAAATATTTTTTATTAAAAATCGTCACCTGAGTTTTCCACATTATAACATTTACTGTATATCCCTAAATAATTTGTTTGTTGCTGAATTGGGATAAATAATTAGCATGCCAATCGTATTGGGCCAATTCTACCGAAAATTGGGTCAGTGAATCATAAGGCTAAAAACAACTAATTATGGCACTACTGAAAATTTGAAAAGAACCTTAACTATAAGGGTAGGGTTGTAAGTGAGATGAGACAGATAGTGAGTTACTCGAGATCGATTCGATTAAGGCTCGATAAATACTCGGATCGAATGGATTCGAATCGAGCTCGAGCTCGACTCGATTTCTTAACGAGCCGAAACGAGTTACTCGATATTCGACTCAAAAAGCTCGTGAGCAGCTCGAAAATATAATATATTAAGATTTTATTTTTTTAGAAAATAAATTATTAATAATATTAATATTTATGTATTGATTTTTTTTAAAAATACAGTAAGATTTTTATGTATTTAAGATTCATGTTCGAGTTTGAGTTTGAAGCTTCAATCGAGTTAAGTTTAAGAATTTTTTTTTCATTTCGAGCCTTTTCGAGCTGCTCACGAGCTTCAGTTCAGGGTTTCGAGTTCGATTCGAGCTTGAAAATTTTAAGCTCGCGAGTTTTCGAGTCGAGCCGAGCTCAACAATACTCGAGCTCGACTCGGCTCGTTTACACCCCTATACAAGGGTTAAGTGATCCGAAATATTGATTTATATGTAATATATTAGGTTGCAAATATTTTAAATTATTTTAAAATAGTGTAATCTGTAAACTTATATGATCGATAAGTATTGATACTTATATTTTACATGTAATATATTAGGTTGCAACGATTATTAATTTTTATTTAAATATTCATTGCTTACGTTTTTTTTACGAAATAATCTACTTTAGTGATTAAAAGAATCTGTTATTACTCTTAAATATTATGAGATCATTTATAACAAGATAATTGAATATTTATTATCAAATGGTTGAGAGTGTGTAAAACATATATTATAATCTATGTCAGTAGTCTCTTTTATTTTCGGTCTGATCAAATTTAATTATCATTTTTTTAATTAAATGTGTTTGGTCATTTACGTTATCGATCCGTTCAGTTAAAATCTCTCCATCCGTAACTTCCGTTGATTTATTAACGAAAGTATTATGTGGTAATTAAAAAATAAAAAAAAATCCACGTGTTTGTTCAAACTTTTGACTCACCTGTAATCTTCTTCTTCTCCTCCTTTTAAAACTTTTGCTAAAACTTTGGGACGTGTTTGTTATTGTCTTTTTTCTATGCATCTGAGAGGCCATGGCTCTGTAAATCTTTGGCCTTTGCCATGTTTTCACCTTTTGGTTCTTTGGGTCAGTCCTTATTTTCTTCCTTTTTTTACATGGGGATGGACATGGCATCCGAACCCATTTAATTAGGTTTTTTAAAAATTTTGAGTTTGAGTAAGTCAGATTTTTTTAATGTAGTGTTCGAGTCAAATCAGATTCGAGTTTAGGGTGAAAAATATCTGACCTGAAAAAATATAATTTTACCTTATATATTTAGGAATAATTACAATAATACCCTTCTATATATTATTTTTTTCAATTAAATCACTGTTTTTATTGAATAAAATTTTTTTTTTTATTATTTCGGATCTGTCGTATAGAGTTCGGATTTTATTTCAAAAATGCTAGTTGGATTCGGGTCGGGTGGAAGGTATATATATTATGCGGGTCGAGTCGGATTTCAGGTAGAAGAATCATTGTTCTCGAGTCGAATCGGGTGGATCAAAAATCCGACCTATGCCCATCCTTATTTTACTACAAGTTTTTCATATTTAATGTAAACGTTAATGGAGGTAAAGGTCACCTAATTCAATAGTTGGATGGTATGCTCGATCAAATTAAATTATAATTGAGTGATAACTGGTGCAGTTTACTAAATTTATATGAGTGTGAGACAAATGTAAAATTATTACATATAATTATATATAATAATTTAAATACTTATTTTAATAAAAATAATTAAAAGGATTAAAAAAAAAGAAAGCTAAATAGACTTGTTTTCACTTGAAGCCAAGAACATAAAAAGAAAAGTCCAAATCCCATATAATTGTTGCAGAAAGAGCCTCCAAACCTACTTCGATTCCTCCGCCTCCATAGACAACAACTGTTCACCTTTTTCCCAGCTCTCTTTACGTTCTTAATTATATATATCAATCCACCAAAGTTTCGCCCTTTTATGACAATCTAAAACAACCTCGTCATCTTTGTAGTTTTCCTCGATTTGGGTTCCAGCTAGTTGTTGATATTTTTTTTGTGATTTTTAACCAAAACCCACCAGTCAAGATTGGATTTTTTTTCTTCGCTCAATTTCTTGTGAAGTTTCTTTTTAGTTCCTGATCAGGTGATTCAAGGTATCAACTTTTGGAGATGAATTTCAGGAGCTTGGAGGAGTTTTGGGCCTATTACGTGAATCAGCACTCCAAACGATCGACGAGACGCTGGCACTTTGCCGGCACGCTCTCGAGTATCGTATTGTTTATATATTCTTTGTTGTTCAACTGGTGGTTCTTGGTGCTTGTGCCGATATGTGGCTATGGGCTTGCCTGGTACAGTTATTTCTTTGTGGAAGGGAACGTGCCCGCCACTTTTGGGCATCCGGTTTGGTCCTTTTTGTGTGATTTCAGGATGTTCGGGGTTGATGCTTACTGGGAAAATGGACAGGGAGATCAAGAGGCTTGGAAAGAGACCTATATTACACGGCTTCTAAAGGGTGTGTTTGATTCAGATTTGTTTGCTTAGGATGCTATGGGCTATGGTTAAAACTCTTGTTGTACATGTTGCTTCTGAAACTGTTTAGTTCCCTTCTCTTGAGTTTATGATGAATAATCGAGTAGAATTCATTTTGGTGTAGATATAATTCTGGCCTTTTCTGAGTGATCTGTTGGACAATTTTGGTTTAGTTTTCTGCTGTTAATGCTTAGCTAATGAATCATTTTGGTCAAAGGAGTTGATTTCTTGTGGATCAACCTTCGAATTCGAGTCGAATCAACCCCAATCGAATTTTAACCGGATTTTGATTCGAGATACTTACAAGATGATCAGCTCATTAAAAACCCGTAATTCCGGTCATTACGATTACCAAGTTCCAGTACCAGGGAATCAAACAAATCAATCAACAACCTGTAGAAAAATAAATTCTTGCAAATCTTTTATTCATTCTTTATACATCAAGATACCAAAGAATGATGTAAAATCAAAATAAAGTACACTGCTTTTGCAATAAGCACACATATATACTAAATCATATATATATATATATATATAACCAAAATTTTGATGTTCAACGACAACACTAGAAAACTCGCTCCCCAGTTGCAAAGAGATTCCAGAACAGCTGTAATGAAATAGAGGCAAGCTGTGAGCGAGAGGAATGCCTGAAAGATCCTAACCACTGTACGAAATAGCCGTTCCGATGGTGCTGATAATGGCGGCCAGTGTCCCAGCTGAATTTGATATGCCTGTTTCCCAGATTCCAATTAAGAACAATTTCATCGTTGTTACTACAGATGAATACAATCATTGGTTTTAACATACCGTGGAGAAATCCTGCATATTGAGGTGCAATGTCTGGTGAAATAAGCAGCAGCACTTAGTTTGAGGCCAATCCATTCTTTCTGTTAAAGCTATTGTGTGGACAAAAAGGGACTTACTTGCATGTTGAGAAGAAAACCAGCTTGGCTGAAAGAACTCAAGCTCAGGGCTACTGTCAGCAATACGGCAGCGATTTCAGGTGACTTTGCAAAGTTCAAGCATAGCAACGACACCCCGGGGCCGATGAACCCTAGAGACTGTTACATTTACAGTTTGCACATCAACGGTTTCGATTTTCAAGGAAGTAAGATGTTAAATTGGTTCGAGTGTGTACCTGCATGATCTTTCGAACCGATGTTATAGAGTATCCGGCCTTGATTAGAGAATCCGATATCGCTCCTGCAATGTAACCCGAAACAGCCATTGTCCCCCATGGAACTGCACTGAACCAAGCTGCTTGTTTCAAGTTCACATTAAACACCTGCATTTTCCATTGGGGAAAAACTCATTATAGTAACATGATGCTCGAACATAAAAATAGTTGATGAGAATGCTACTAACAGTCTTGAAATAAACCGGCATCCATGAGAGGAGAACAAGTATCCCTGAAAAAAGAAAAGTGCAGCTTTATTATGTCGTAAAAAGAATCGTGAAGCCAATCAGGCGTTTCCGATGCGACGAAAAGACTTACCCAATTGTTGGTTACATTAGCAAATACGATTGCCCATGTCGGTAACTTTGAAAAGAGGAGGCCTATAGGCGGGAGGTCGGCAGTAGCTGTAGGAGGATCGGTTTTCCCGGCCTGGATCGATCTTAGCTCGGATTTGCTGATGAATGAACTATCTTTAGGATCACTTGTGACCTTATAAACCCATGATGACAACCATAGCAACCCAAGAGACGAAAAGAGAACGAAAGGTGCGGTGATGCCGACGGTTGACAACATGATTGGTGTCAAAATTAAGCCCACCACGTTTCCGAGATGGAATCCGGCCATTGAAATCCCAACTGCGCTTGCTCTTTCATGTCCTGGAAACCATCTAAACGACACATTTTTGTCGGTCCATCATTGCTATGAATTGATATGAACTATGATGGAGGTATTACCTGGATAAGATGGTGCTCATGGAAGGAAGGGCAACGCCTTCAGCTAGACCGAAGAAGGCACGAACCGCCAAGAGAGCGACGGTGGAGTGATTGGCAGCCCATGGAGTGAGAAGTGTGGCCAAAGACCACAAGGCAACACCCCATGCCATCACTCTTTTGCTCCATACTTGTCCACAAAGCTCCTCCAATACAGAAGAGAATATGTATCCCCATAGGAAAGATGACTTCAACCAATTGAAAACGTACTCATAAGCATTTTAGTATCCAACTTAAATATACATAGGAATTGTGATTATTTACGGGAAAGTACTAAATAAAAAATAAGGGTAAACATACATTTTGCGTAAAGTATAAAAATGGTCCCTTGACTATAGGGTATTGTTTTATTAAGTCTCTCGACTATTAAAAGTTACAAAATGATCCTCTAATTATAGATTGTTTCTTTGTTGTGTTCCTCGACTATTAAAAGTTACAAAATGGTCACCCGACCATTAATTATGTTCAGAATTCATTCTTTTTCGTTAAAAATAGATGATACTTTGAGCTAAACGTTAACCTGTTGATTGTGATGTAATAAAATCTTATCCTAGAATCTCAAATGACTATCATATCTCATTCATCATGTTGACGTCTAACTTAAACAACCGTCACTTTTTTAACGGAAATAGACGATTTTAGAACATAATAAATAGTCAGGTGACTATTTTGTAACTTTTAATAGTCAATGGACTTAACAAAACAACATTCTATAATAAGAGGACCATTTTGTAACTTTTAATATGCGAGCGACTTAATAAATCAATAACCTATAGTTAGGGGACCATTTGTGTATTTTACCCATATGGTTTTAGTATTTAAACTTAAATTAAAGATTCAATCCAAGAAATCTAATTTCTTTTCCAATTAGATATAAAGCTTGGGATTAATGTTTAATTTAGCATCTAATTTTTTGTCAAATTATATATCTAATTTAGTATACGGTCCAAAATCATAATTTGACCAAATTTGGCTAGTACTACAGGGACCAAAATTCAGAATTTGACCAATATTCGGTAATGGTAGGTGATTTCAAGCGGCGGCACCGAAGATACGATTTTTCAACCACCGCCAAATTTTCTCACCTACCACCATTCTGTTTTTACATTAAATAAAATTAACAATTTTCATTAAAAAGAAGAAGAAAGAAAAAGATGCTTACCTGAACAATGCCGAGGAAATAACTGGACCAGCCAAGCTTATAGGCGAGCGGAACGACGGCAACCGACATCACAACTCGATCAGCATTACATAAACACATGACACAAGCCATTAAAGTCACCACCTTGAACCTTTGGCATCCTCACGGCGGCTTCACGGGGGACCACTACCCTTCTTCTATCCCTCGCCGTACACCGCTTCCCCTCTGTGTCTTCTTCGAAACGAAATCCCGGTCTTTCTCGATGTCAACCCCAAGCTCTCCCATTGACCTGCTTTCCCTGAAACCCGAGGGTGGGTGCCCCAAATTTGGCCCGACGTGATTGTGGAATGCTCAAAGTACAACAAGATTTAGTGGAAGAAGAAGAAGAACGAAGTAACAGAGATTCAGTAGCCATTGGTGGGGGGAGAGAAAATAAATCGGAAAATTAGTTAAATTTAAGAACTCGTTAAAACTTTAAAACAATTTCTTATATATATAGACGTTTTTTTTTGGCAAAACAACATCCAAGGCCCTTAAACTTTTAAAAAAAAATTAATGTACCCTTCGACCAACATTTTTGTTAGTTAATTCCTGCTGTTATTAAATGGATAAATTATAATTTTCATCACTCAATTATTTTCTTCTTCTATTTAGGCACTAAATTTTAAAAAAATTCAATACGAGAATATTGTTGTTATTTATTAGATGGTTACATTATTAAACTATTTAGAATTAAATAATATTAAATTGATATAATTAATAAATATTAAAAAATAAATTTATTAAATCATATTTTAAATTAAGACTAACCTGATTAATATAAATATAAAAACTAAATGTGTTATTGTAAATTTTAAAATTATCATGTCATCCCCATTATAATATTTAAGCTTCAATTTATTTGATTATGTGATTGATTTTATTCTTATCACAAAATAGAACGATAATAGATCATGTAGTCTTAATTTAAAATAAGATTTAAGATTTTTTTTAATATTTATAATTATATCAATTAATATTATTTTAATTCTAGATAATGAGATTGATATGATATTTTAAAATTTATACAATAACATATTTAGTTCATATTTATATATTTAATCAAGCTAATCCTAATTTAAAATATGATTTAAGAAATTATTTTTTAATATTTATAAATTATATCATTTATTATTTTACTTCTAGATAATGGAGATTTATATGATATTTTAAAATTTATACAATAACATTTAGTTTTCATATTTATATTTAATCAAGCTAGTCCTAATTTAAAATATGATTAATAAATTTATTTTTTAATATTTATAAATTATATCGATTTAATATATTTTAATTATAATTAGTTTAATAAATGTAACATCTAATAAAATAGCAATAAATATTCCCGTATTGAAAATGTTTAGAATTTAGTGACCAAAATAGAAGAGAATAAAATAGTCGAGTAATGAAAAGTGTGATTTACCTTTTTAATAATAGCAGGAATTAACGGAATCTGGTGAATGATAGAAATTGTTGATCAAAAAGCCACATTGAATTCTTTTTACGTGGAAGACCCATAGAACGAAAAAATGATAGGGCATATTAGTTTTTTTTAAGTTGGAGGGCTTGGATGTCTTTTACCTTTTTTTAATTACAAATCTCATATATTTCATTGCTGAAGAGCTTACCTTATTTGAATTAAAAAGGAAAAAACAACGCTTTGGAGAATTCTCACTAGGGTGAACAAAACTTAACTTAATTTGAAAAATTGATTTTCTTGACTTGATTTAATTTAAAAAGCTTGATTCGAAATGACTTCGAG